TGTCAGGTGCCTGGTCCAGCCTTCCTGCGAGCTCTCTGTGGAAATGAGAGCCAGCAGGGCTTACAGCCACCAGGGAGCATATGTTCCAACAGAAACTAGATTGATTATTTTTTGTTCACTGTCAAGAAAGGTTATAAATCAACAGGAGCAAACCCCCAAAGGTGACTCACTGCACAGATAGCGTGTTTACTCAGTCCTGGAGCTGTGGCCAAATGGGTTTTTGGGAAACTTCACTTTCATCAGGTCCCTCCCCGCTCCAGAACCTACAAGGACTCTTTCTTATCCATCTCATCAGAATTCTCCTGGCATTTCCCAGGGCTTGGGTAATATGTCTTGGCTCCATCTTCACGATTTTATTCCCCCCATCACAGCGAGAATCCCGCAGTGCCTTCTGATCCACCAGAGCCAGGGTTTCTAAACTTTTCTGACCAGGAGCCTCAGTGAGACATCCTCACTTAGCCTCACTGTGTGTGATAAACACTGCTATTTTCTCTTTCATTCTTTTCTATTTCATTTAAAAAGGTGTAGGTCATGACTCACGCAGTTGATTTAATGATAGACTAATGGGTCATTACCCACAGTTTGAAAAGCAGAACTGATTTCACACACACTAATCATGGTAGCATGTCCAAGCTTGTACTGTTCGCTGCAGGACAGGCCACAGGCCAGTCAATGGAGAGACAAGTTTTGGGGCAAGGAATAGTGACTTTATTTGGAAAGCCAGTCGGCTGTGAAGACGGTGGACTAATATCCCAAAGAACCATCTTGCCCAGGTTTGGATGCTAGTTTCTTATATAGAACAAAGAAGGGGAGGTGAAGAGGTAAAGCAAAAAGGGTTATTGCTGTTGTTTAATCACCGAGTTGTGTCCGACTCTTTTGTGACCCCACAGACAATAACCCACCAGGCTCCTCTCTCCGAGGGATTTCTCAAGCAAGGATATTGGAGTTGGCTGCCATTTCCTTCTCCAGGGGATCTTCCTGACACAGGGATCAAACCCGCATAACCTGCATTGCAGGTGGATTCTTTACCACCAACCCACTAGGGAAGCCCTCCAACAGGGTGATAAATTGTTGGAGTGATTTCCTGGTTCCAGCCAGACTCCCGAGGGCATGTGTCAGTTTCTTCCTTCCTTCAGCTATTACAGGTGGGCCTGGTCAGGAGGTTTCCTGGGAGCTAAACAAAGGTACTTTAGCTTAATGCTCAGGTGTGGGAGGCAGGGTTCCCCGAGATGGACCATTATGTACACTTTAAACTATAGGCAACATCCCTTGAGTGATTAACTTGTAGCAAAAGCAATATAATGCAAAAGTTAAGAGAGAAAGATCCAACATGGAGTCAGATTTGTTATTCTCTATTATAGTCATGGAAACCCAAGTGGACCCCAGGAGATGTTCACCTTGTGAGCGTGTTTTATCTCTCAGGAGATAAAAGTGACCAGTCACATCTGACAAAAAGTTGGTCAAAAAACATTCGAGTAGTGGCCTCCACAATTTTTTTTTTGATTGCACCCCATCAGTAAAAAAATGTTTCAGCATATAGCACTGATCTATGTTTGGTTATTTTTTTAACCTACCAGTGTATGATGTGACCACATAAAATATACACTCAAAATGGAAATTTTAAAAGGGTGGCATAAAGATGAAAGGAACTGTATTTTAAAATGACATGCTAATCGTGTTGGCTTCATTCTGTTATCAGCAAATATCCGAAGGCAAAATACACAGAAAGAACGCAGTTCATGGTTATCAGCAGCAGTTGTAAATCTATTTTCAAACCATTTTGATGATTTAAGATGTTTTTCTGGTTGACTTCTTGTCAGATTTGGAAACCACTGCTTTGTATCATAGCCTCTTTCCTCAACGTTGCCCTTCATTTCCTGACGAAACCAAAAAAGCTCCATCAGCACCTCCTTTTGCTACTTCCGTCCACCAGAAACCTGGGGAGGGTCACTTTTGACACCTCTTTCCCGTGCCCACCTCAGCCAGCCATTTACTACCTTCTGGGGATTGTACTACTCAGTAGAGGATCAGCTCTTCTCATGTTCTCCTTCAATTGCTACATTCCTGCCATGCTGCCTACTCCTTCCTCCCAGTTCTTCACACACCTGACTGACTCCTACTCACCCCTCAAAACCCAGCATAAAGGTCTTCTTCAGAGGGACTGTCTCTGAGCACTGTCCAGTATACTTTCTGAGGCACCTTGTACTTTCCTCCATGGCTCTCATCACAGTTTTATTTTTATACTTATTTATGCTTCACTTTCTTTCAGGTGTGCAGCCCTCCAGCATCTAGATTGTATCGAGTTGGCCAGAAAGTTCGTTCAGGTTTTTTTTTCTGTTACATCTTATGGAAGAACTCAAATAAAATATTTGGCCAACCCAGTAATTTCCTTCAGGGCAGGGACCATGCCTGATGTGTGTGTGTATGTGTGTGTGTGAGAGAGAGAGAGAGAGAGAGAGAGAGAGGGTGTTTAGCATCCACATCATGGACTCTCAATACATATTTAATACTCACAACAAACGTATTACAGATAGTACCCCCATTTTACAGGTGAGGAAGTTGAAAGTCTAAAAGGTTCATTGCCTAAGGTCACCTGGTTAATAAGTGGGAAAACTGGCCTTCGACCCAGGCCTTTCAGGTTGTAGTGTACACTCTTGCCAACCCCTCTGGATTGTTCTTTTGTAACCCGCACAGGCTCTAAGGGCTGATTTTCAGTCCTACCTTCCTTGTTGATACTAGGCCCCTAATGTGTCTCCTCCTGAACTAGCCCCATTTATGCTCAGGGTATCTGCATCACACTCTTCACCCTGAGTTATTCTGGACGACTCTGACCTTTTCTGACATAAATTCATGTCCCTAAAACTTATCCACGTTTTAGGTTGGAAAGTAAGACCCTACATTGCCTCATCTTCTCTTGAATTCCATAGCACCTTGGAAAGAACCTGAGCACCCCAAATACTAAGTAAATAATTACTGATTAGTTGATCATTATCAAGAGCTTGGCAGAGATTTCATTTGACTTCCAAGTTAAATCCTGTCTTTGTGCATATCCGCTTCCCAGCCAAGAGTAAGAAGACCGTGCCTCGGATTCAGAGGGGTTTTAACTGTTCCAATTTGCACTTCTTGGCCTTCTTCCTGGTGGATCTCAGTGTAATTTTTGGCTGAGACCCAGGAATTTAAGGGTCTTCAATACCATGAGTAATTTCATGAGTTGCTGATGGCTAATTAGGGGTGATTACAGTCAAGAGGTTTGACTGTCTTAATAACCCCCAGAAATGGCTGGTGGTGACTTTAAACATCTTGATTATTTTCCCCTGCAAATGGAATTTTCTGATTCTTCTGACTGTCTTTTCATAAGTCCTTGTAATTTATCCCCCACCTCGTCTTTCTAGTGAAAAGGAAATGTGAAGTCCTGAGGAGAATTTGGAAACCAATGATTTTGGAAAACTCTGGCTTTATTAGTGAGGACTCCTGGGTACACCTTGAAACCCTGCTTCATTTCTTTGTCTTTCCCTGGGAGGAGGTGTGTGAGGAGAGGAGTCTGGACCACGATCTTTCTCCCCAAGTTCCATTACATTCCAACCCAGCCTCCCATCCCGGGCTGTCTGATGCTATTTATAATTTACCTTTGAAATCATTGCCTCATTTGACAATGTTAAGAAATTGTGTTTAGCGTGGTTTTCTGAATGGAGTAGTGTTTGTAGGTGAGTGTTTGTACCTTCCTATTGTTACTGTGACAACAGACTTTATGTTACTTGACCGCTACCTGCATCAGTATCTTCAGAGCTATTTTTATCTTTTTCAAAAATTTTTTTTTTTTTTTGCCATGCTGTTCACGATCTTAGTCCCTGACCAGAGATTGAAGCCAGGCCCAGAGCAATGAAAGCGCTGAGTTCTAACCGCTGGACTGCTGGGGAATTCCCCAGAGTTACTTTGAATTGAGTGTCCTCTGTTCTAGGCACTGGGCTAAGCATATGACATGTGTCCACTTGTTTAATATTCACAACCTGCCTCAGTTCTTTAGGACATATTTTTTGAACAGGTTTTATTTATTTATTTTTTTCTGTTTTGTTGTTTTTGTCTGTACCGCATGGCATGTAGGATCCTAGCTCCCCCACCAGAGGTTGAACCCGTTCCGTCTCTGTGTGGAAGCATGGAGTCCTAACCACTGGACCACCAAGGAAGTCCTGAGCAGTTTTATTGAGATGTACAATTACACTTTTTTTTTAGTGTAGTCACAAGATTGTACAGCCATCATCACAATATAATTTTAGAACATTTTTGTCACCTCAGGCGAAATCCTCACACCCTCGAAGTAGCCCCTCTCCACCCTCCAGTCCTTGGTAATCATGAATGTATTTTTTTTGTCTCTATAGATTTGCCTATTCTGAACACTTCCTGTAAGTGGAATCATACAATATGTAGCCTTTTGTATTTCATTTTTGTGATGTTGTCAAGGTTTGTCAGCATCCAGACGTCATTTCTCTTTATGTCTAGGCAGTATTTTTACCCTTATTGTACAGCTGGGGTAACCAGGACACAGAGGTGAGAGGACTTTCTAATGGGTCAAGTAGTCTTTAATGGATGGAGCAAGATTTCCAATGCGCGTTTGCCTAATGACAACTCTGCTGTTAGCTTAGACTCTGAAGCAGTTATATTGATGGTAGCTTATTAAACATTTTCTATGGGTCACTGTGCTGAGTGTCCTGTAAATTTGTTACCTCACGTTCATACATAATCAACTTTCATTTGGGCAATCTGGTGACCATAACTGGGCATAAGCGGGCAATGGTATTTTTGTCTTAATGTCTTCTGTTTGCTTACTTCTTGTTGAACGGGCTGGCCTAAGCTGCAGAACCTTAGATTCTAGATTCTTTGTAAGCTGATGATACTAAAAATAGCATTGTTATTCTTCTGTAGGAGTTGAACATCACCCCCATCTGTAGAAAATTGGCAACATCTCTGAGGAGCCCTTGCTTTTTCCTGGGACACCCAGGATCATGGTTTCCTGTTTCATGGAGTCTCTCAGGTGAGTGGAAAATCTTTTGAAAAGGAAATAGGAAAATAAGAAATTCAATATTTGAATTTTACTGTATATTTCTTCTAGTAATGTGCCTTGAGGGCCTGCATCTCACAGATACTTTTGATGTGCCTTGTACATATGTGTAGTAAGTTTGATGCTCACAAAGGCTGCTGAGGCCTGGACAGCTATGTGCTGTGGTGAGAAGTGCTTAGACTGAGATTAAGTGGCTTGGGCTCTGTGCTGTGCTCTGCTATTCACTGAGAGATATCTAGGACTCAGAGTTTTCATTGATTATTTATTCATTTGATGCTCTGCTTGTCATATGGGATCCTAGTTCCCCAACCACGGATCGAAGCCGTGTCCCTGCATTGGAAGCACGGAGTCTTAACCACTGGAGCGCCAGGAAAGTCCCCTCAGATTTTTCTTAAAATAAAAATGTTAATGGACTTGTGGGTATTTATCATGGCTGCATAATAAAATTACCTGAAGAACTTTAGAAAATACTGTCCTCTGGCTGCATCCCCACAGATTGTGATATAATTGATCTGGTATATTTAAAAGGTGGCCTCTCTGGTCCTCTTTGTTCAAAGTATCTGTGACTTGCCCCTGCATTTTTAATTTGATACTGATATTAACCATGCAGAGTAAGTGGAACAAGTAGTATGGTCTCTGTATGCAGATCAGAAAATCAGTGTTTATCTCCTGAGGCCCATTCCTTCAGTGCAGACTCAGGGGAAGGGCTCGGTGCTCTGGAATTTAGTCTGTATATTGAGACTTTTTTCAAGATTTCCTAAAGATGATAGACCCCTTTAAAAATTCTTCAATCAAAATCCTATGTAAAGAAAACAAAACAAACAAAAAAAAAACCCCTCATCATTATAAAATAGCCAATGGCAGTATTTTATTAAGGGAAATTTATTTTAGAAGTTTGAATTTGTAATGTTTACACATTATGAGATTCATGAGTCTATTTGCATAAACATCAGAATTTGGAATCAGAATTTACAGATGATAGCTTATACGTTAGCCTCTGCATCGAGTTTATCTTGTGACTAGTTTTAGCTGCATAGTAATCAGAAAATCTTGGTCCATCTAGGTAAGTAATTGCAATTGGTACCAGTTCTTTACTGAAGCTCATTTTACAATCTCAGGACACTCTTTAAAGAAATTGACTCAGAATCTAGAAAGGGAAAAGAACTTTTTGTTACAAATCTGAATCACTAAGGTTATCTTGTAGTTTTTTTTTTTCCTCCACAACTAGGACAGTCCCAAATGCCAAAAATTTACACTGAAAAGTGAAAACGGTCTATAACATGTTATTATGATGGTGCCACAGGTACTGTCTCAACCAGGGCTAAAGCATTTGTCAGGCAGATGGCTAAAGCATTTGCCAGCCCATGGCTGGCATTTCACTGAGGACAGTGCGTGTGTGTACTCTTAGTCTGTAATTGCTTGTGTAATTTTACACGAGCTGACATGTGCAGGCCTGCAGTCCAAAGACCCATGCAGAGCTATAAGCTTCTTCATCAGTGACATAAACTGGTGTGTCAGAAAGAGTCAGAGAAGGCAGCAAGTGCTCCACTCTGAGGCCTCGACAAAATCCAGCCATGAACAGAGCAGCCTGAGTCTCTCAGTGCTCATTTTTGGTATCTAATCGAAATCAGCATGTGGACAGTTTTTAGCCACAGTTTAAAACACAGTTTAAAAGCTGTTTCAGGACATAAAATGTGTATCCAGTTTGTGGAAGCTCCCATGTCCTTCTCTAAAACCACAGGGGAGTGAGACATGCTGTTGGACCACTCAGTCACGTTAGGACCACAGCCTATTTGAGAACAGCCAGTGGGAGAACACAGAAGTGGAAGTCATAGTCGTATATGTAATTGAATTAAAAAGAGCAGCAGATAAAACGTTTCCCTGTGTAGTAAGCGAGTGGTAAGCAAGTATAAGTCTGGCTGCTATCAGAAAGGCTCCCTTGAGTACTGAAGACCCTCAGAAATGTGGGGCCAACCAGGCTGGATAGGAAGGGCTTCATTTGAGAGAAGTCCCTTTTGCAAATTTTTTTTTCTTAATGTTTGGAATTTTAATTGATGCCCCTGCAGTTAACCTCTGTAATGATCTGTGATATGGAGGCCATCTCCCAGGGAGGCCTGGTGGGCTCACCTCCAAGCTGTGCATTATTTCAGAGAAATTGCCAACAGATTAGAAGTTAGCAGGGTAGGAGCTGTTGAAAGCTAGATGTGGCCTTGCTACCCTCCAGGCAGAACTCTGGGAGTCTTAACAGGCTTCTGGGATTAGGGTCCTGCTGAAGGGATTGTTTGAAAAGAGCTGCTCAGTCGGACGATGCTTCCCAGCTGACTCAGAGGTTAGCAGGAGATGTGGGTTCGATCCCTGGGTCGGGAAGATCCCCTGGAGGAGGAAATGGCAACCCATTCCAGTATTCTTGCCTGGGAAATCTCATAGACGGAGAAGCCTGGTAGGCTACAGTCCATGGGGTTGCAAAGAGTTGGACATGAGTGACTAACAACAACTAACTGAGTGACTAACAGCAACTCAGCAGGACATTTCTTCAACAGTCCTGCTCTAAGGAAAGAATATATGAGTTATGGGTATAGGCAAGTCTTCAGGAGAGCGCAGCTGAAGATTTCCACCAAGTCTCCTTCTTTATAAGCCAGGTGCTCATAAACCATTTTGCATTCTGTTTCAAGGCCCACATAAATATATCTTAACCTGAGGGGGGAGGGGGGGGAAGCAAGAATGTTTTTTGTTTAAATACTTTTCAAAATGTTCTGGTAGAAAGGGCCATGGTTACTTTAAGAGTAAAAGCTTTTGATAAAACTGGTAGATGAGAAACACACAGAGACACACAAATACTCAGGGTTTAAAAAAAGAATATTGATCAAGGCAGCCAAATACATAGAGATTAATAGGAAAAGCTGGAGGATATCTCTACCTATAGAGAAAACAGGTCAAAATTAGGAGTTAGTCACCAACAAAACCCCTGAGAGGAAAAAAAACATTTAAGGGGATTCACAATTCTGATATGCAGAGATTTTGTTTAAAAATCCCTCCCCGGTTCTTGCCAAGCCACAGGGAAACAGAAAGCCAGCTTCTCCCTCATTGAAAGAGACGGAGAAGCCCTGAGTATTAATATAGTAAGAGTGCCTCTGCCATGCTCAGAGTCTGTAGTAATAAAAAGAGCCATGGTTAAATCCAGTAGCAGAAGAAACACTAAGACTAACTCTGCATGGAGCTGGTTATTGAGTTGCCTTTGGACCTTGGCTGAGTCTTGGATCGTGTGCAAAATTCAGGACAGGTGATATCCATTTGGAGCAGAGTTGGTCAAGGCTAGATTAAGATTTGTCGCCTATTACAAGTTAGAGAGGAAAAGGCACTAAGTAATACAACAGTGTGTTTAGCTTTAAAGACTTGCTCCAAATTGTGCAGTTTTTTTTTCCTTGTATGTACAATTACATCTTTGTGTGTTTGTTCAGTGATTGAGAGGAATGAAACTCAGTTTTCTCTCTAGAAGCAGCATAACAGTTGAAGATGACCAGCCAACCAAGTTTCTTTAAAGTCAGTCACCCTGGTCAAGGGCTCTTTCTTTACCTCGTAGAGTGCTTTTGTGCAGTTGACATAATATATCTTTGAAATGAAAACACAGAGGAAAACAAAACTATTGAAAATGCCAAACAAATGGTTAAAGCTGATTTGGAGATTCTTATTTGGAATAGTAGTTTTTGAAGAAATACAGATGTAATTAGAGGGATTACGGGGTTAGTTGGTGATTTTTATAGTTCTTATGAAGGAGAGTTCTGGATCATTTTAAGGGTTTTACAGGTTGATGGCCCTAGGTCAAGTGTCTGGTTTTAGTCTTCTGAAACGTGAGGCTTTTCTTTTCCCTGATACACACTTCAGTACAGGAATAATACTGTAATGCCTGTCAGCTACTTCACTGAGAAATACAACCATAAGGGATTGAGGAAATGAGAACACGAAAGGTTCCAGTTCTTGGAGAACTGGAAAAAGATCCTGAAGACAAAACGCAAGGAAGAAGGGGGTTGAAAAAGTCTAAGTGCGAGGAAGAGAATGCCCAAAGTCGTGATAGCTGAGGTGTGAAAACTGAGACTCCCTTTGGAGTAGGGAAATCTGTGAAATTGGGAAGCGTCATGGGATCAGTTAGTGTTCCTGCGCCAGTGACCAAGAAGTGGGGTGGAGGAGGAGGGGAAATAAGCGAAGGAAGAATACAGGGAAGAGATGGAGAGCGGAGGTAAAGGAGGATGGAGAGAAGCCCGAGGAAGGAAGGGGCCGGAGAGAGGGCAGTGGTGGGAGGGGGGCAGGAGGAGGGGTCCGAGGAAAGGGGAAGGGTAGGAGGAGGAAGGGGGAGGGGCAGGAGAAGGAGGGGGAGGGGCATAATGGAAGGGGTGGGGCATAAGGGGAGGGGAGGGGCATAAAGGAAGGGAGGGGCATAAGGGGAGGGGAGGGGCATAAAGGAAGGGAGGGGCATAAGGGAAGGGGAGGGGCAGGAGAAGGAGGGGGAGGGGCATAATGGAAGGGGAGGGGCATAAGGGAAGGGGAGGGGCATAAAGGAAGGGAGGGGCATAAGGGAAGGGGAGGGGCAGGAGAAGGAGGGGGAGGGGCATAATGGAAGGGGAGGGGCATAAGGGAAGGGGAGGGGCAGGGACAAAAAGCAGAAGAGGCTAGGCTGGGATCCTGAGTGTTAAACTTCAGGATGTCACGAAGGCAGGACTGAATTGCTCTGGCCCATATTGAAACCACTACCCAATTGATGTGTAATAAATATTGGGTTGGCCAAAAAACTCATTCGAGTTTTTCCATAAGATGTTACGGAAAAACCCATTGGAACTTTTTGGCTAACCCATTATTTGTTGAACATTGAATGAATAAATTAATAATTCTCTTTGTTGCTGCTGCTGCTAAGTCACTTCATTCGTGTCCGACTCTGTGCGACTCCACACATGGCAGCCCACCAGGCTCCACTGTCCCTG